AAATTAATGCAGAACACCATGAAATTCCAAAAGATTCACATACTTTTTCTTGCAACTGTATGAATGATTGCTTTATTGATTCAAAGCACTATCCATTTATTACATTGTTCAAAGGACCATAGAAGAGGACTGCAAATATTTACTCAGGAGATTGTCCAGTAGAATTTTATTCAAACCGAGCCAAACTTCCTAAAATAGTTCACAGTACCACTTTCAGTATAATCTCTTTAGCACAGCTTTTTCAAATCTGGGCACTCTCCATATATGGAATATGATTCCCAGAATTCTCCGCAATGACTGTGCTGGCTGGGGAGACCTGGGAGTTGAAGTTCACTATCTGAATGGCAGTATTCCCCTCCCCACTTAGAGAAGGTGGTTAATAAACTGGAATGCAAAGCAAATCACAGCCCATGCCACTCCAAATTAAGAAGACCACTGAGTCGGAAAAGGAAAAGTCCCAAATGGCCCTTGTCCTTTATGGATATCTCACTCAACACCATTTCTTAACTAATTCTAAAGAAGTAGAATTAGACTAATGCTTCTACTCTAAGAGAGAAACTAAACAAAATCTTCTGGACTGAGAAACAACTGACAACAAATAGTATACAGAAGACTGTGCACACAGAAGCTTTATTTCTTCAACTTCCACAACAGACAGCTATCTAAGTGAAAGATTGCACTGGGCTCTTAAATTGCATATACCATTCATGACATTCTTCCTAACATTTAGCTTAAATGTCCCCCCTTTTTTAATTTGAATCAGTTGGTTTGAGTTTTGTTCTCTGAAGAATCATCTTCAAGCTCTTGTATAATCCAACACTTTTGACCCTTGATTTAGGACTTCAAGGGCTACAGAAGCCAGGTGAGAGGGTAAAATCCAAATAATTCCATTACCATCATGGTGGAAAGAGCTTTCACTCATTGAAGCCTTAACTCTGATTTGTACAAGAAGCATAAATGTTTGAAAATCTTCATAAAACTGACTGAGTCTGGAGAAAACAAGAAAGATCCCAACATTCCTAGCTAAGCTACTGAATTTCAAAAGAACCACCTGATTATAGAGTTAAAAATGTGAAGTATGTGAAGGACAACATGTAGATATGACGTTGAATCCATAATTTGGGAGGGTGAATGTGAAAACTAAAAGATGATGTGCTAGTAATTTGTATGGGTCCCTATAACATACCATAGCATGTATAACCTTGTACATATGCTTTGTTTTGTGTTTTGTCAGGAAAGGACCCCCACTACCACCTGTTCTAGAACAGGGATCTAGGAAGCAATCATATCAAGACAGGCCATTGGTCCACCTTGCTCAGTATTACCTATGCAGCTGGGCAGCAGCAACACCCTAGAATTTCAGGTCGGAGTCCTTCTCAACCCTATGTAGGGAGGCCACCCCAATGAACTATAGTCCTCCTCTTCCTTTTGGAAACACTGGAGAGGCTGCTATGGAAAGAGCAACATCTTTTGCAGTAGGAATGAGGAGAAATGGATTTCGAGCTCACTTTATTTTTATCTTGTGCAGCGACTACTTTCATCTGCTAAGACAACACAACTTTCACAATCCTTCAATTTTATACTGCATCAGTGTTCTCATGAGTTCATGTTTGTTCCCAGAACTACAGGTCTTGTGTCTGTGTCTAGTTGTACTTCTTTTTTTTTTTTTTAAAGTCCTGATAGTGTCAGAAAACAGGTCTATCATTTCTGGTAATGCAGGCAAATAAATAGTACTTAAAGCATATCAGACATACAGGCGTGACCTTGAGAAATCAGGGTACTGGTGCAGCCTCTTTTTTTCAATGAGTAAAAGTTAGGGTTATGCAGTGCTTTGGATCTAAAAGCAAAAATATGCTTTGGTGCACACAGGGGCACCCATTTAACTCTACCTAGTGGCTGTGTCTTTTCCCCAGATTGCACTGTGGCCTTCTGCAGCTGGTGCATGGTCCCAGAAAATGATGCATTTGGTTTAAAGAGTTGCCAAGATGGAACCACCTGTTGACAGTGAGCAGAGCCCCCAGGTCCAGAAACAGGCGCAACCGACACACAACACAAAGCTGTGCAAAAGCCCCCCTAGCCATGACTGCCACCTGCTCTTTGAGCAGGAGCCATGAGACTAGGAGGACCACCAAGTTGTGCACCGGGCCTCTTTGGGGCAGTACAACCCCATCCAGTACAAAGATGGCATAGTTCCTGAGCCAGAGGGCCCAAACCCCAGAGCCACCCATCTCACAATACAGTGGCTGTAGGTGGTGAACAAGAATTTTAGAAGGCCTTTAAGACATGGATATGTTCCCAAGCATGGTGGTCAGTGTTAGTGGGATCCCATGAAGTTGTTACTGCTGTGTCTAGACTGGTTTGGTTCCTTGGTTACTGCATGTATTGCTGGTTTTTTATATTAAGTTTTTTGTTGTTTTTAAATGTTGTAAATTGCCCAGAGTCACTATTGTGAGATGAGCGGCCATATAAAGCAAATAAATAAATCTGAAACAAAACACAGTATAAATAATAATCAAAACCAACAAGATAAATATAAGCATATGCACAAGGTCTAAGAACATTCAATTTCCAGTCCAAGGATTAGCACCAAACTCACTAGCCAAGAGAGCTCACTTAACTTCCTAGTCCAAAAGCCTAAAGGAACAACCAGGTCTTTAGCATTTTACAAAAGTAACAGATTTTGAGCCAACAGAGAAGGCACGACTTCTAGGTCCCATCAGAGGATGCTCCCTAATAGATGCGACCTGCAGCACACTCGCCCTGACAGTCCGGGTGGGGCACGCAAAGACATCAGAGACAAGCATGCCCACAAGTAATGTGGCCCTACGCCATGCAGGGCTTTACAGGTGGCAACTAGCACCCACAGCCTCCCCATTTACCCACATAATGCATTTCTCTCTCTCTCTCCAAATGCAAACATACGGAGACATGTATATATACATCTTCAACATGCCATGAAAATAAGATACCACTGGATACCCCATCCCTCCCAGGTATAATTCAGTATCTCAGCCCTGTCCTGCTTTTCAAAACATTTACAGATAGCAGGGCTTGGCTGACTATGTCTAAACTTGAAAAGGAAGCCAAGAAGAGTCAGTATTTGGATAGAAGACCTCAAGGAAATCCTAGGGATATGTGCTAGACTGGGAAGTTGTAAAAGTATCAAAAGAAGATAATGGCACACCACTTCCATATTGCTGCCAAGAAAATGTCAGACTAAATGAAGTCAGCGGGATCCACTTGACGGAGACTTTAGCTTTTTATATAGCTATAGATTTACTGGAATGCCTTGGCAGAGTAACTTCTTGAAATATTTAAAATGAAAAAAATCACCAGTTTTTAAAAGAAGAGAATTATAAACTCCTGCCTTTTGTACCTATCTTTTGATATTAAGTAGATGCACAACTGCCCAATCAGAGCTACCCTATAATCCTTTCTTTTTAAAAAAAAGAAAACAGTGTTTCCTTTTCCAGACAGAGTTTATGCCAATTATTGCTAAAACTGCTAACCTGTTGGC